TTACATCGGCGGGTCTTCTTCCTTCCCCGCCGTCGGATCTGAGCCCTACCATCAGTTCCCCGGCACCGATGAGTTCGGCGTGTACTCCCAACCTCCTTCTTCTCCCTATGCCACCCCCAGCCTCTCTGCTCCACGGTCGCAGCTGGAGAGCCTGGATCTAAACTGCCAGGCCGAGTTCCCCAACCTCGACGTCTTCCCCAACAAGGAGCAGCTGCTGTCGAAAGCATTTTGGGCCAGCGTTGGGCTTCCTCCCCTTGGCCCTGGCGACAGATCCGCTCAAGTCCAGTTCCAGCCTCCACGGCCGGTGCAGACCGGATCACGTCCCAAAACTGGCCGTGGAGGTAGCCAGGTTGCGTGCACAGGAGGTAGCCGTCACGGAGCTCTGTTTACAGGAGCTAAATCCGGTAAACAGCCAGCAACATCCGCTCCTCAAGGTATGCCACTGTTCGAAATGGGCGGTGGTGGCCGCGGGGTTAGGATGAGGCAGACAGTGTCCCGTAGATCCACTTCTGCCGCCAGCAACTCCGACCTCGTAGAGGATATGGACGGAGACTATGATGACGACAGCAAAGACTCCGATGAGATCATCCCTACGTCGGTAAGATCCCAACCCTAAACCCTTTTTTTTGTAAATCCTATGATAGATGTGTTTTGGTGATCTCCGGATGATTCTTTAGCATTGATATGTGATGTCTGCTATTTTGATTTATGGATTTATGGATGACTGCTATTTTGATACTTCATGTTTTTTATTCATGGATGACTGTTATTTTGATATGTGATGTCCTCTTTTTATTTTTTTAGAAGAAAAAAATGACAAGGCCAATTGGTCTGATCAAAACATTACCATTTTGTGTGAACTGTACGTTGAGCAAATACACGCTGGAAACTGGAATGCTGGGACAATGACAACTAGAGGTCTCAATATAATTAAAAGCCAATTTAAAAAGATAACCAAACTGAAGCATAGTAGAAAATAATTGAAGAACCGAGTCAATCATTTGAAGCCCATGTATCGTTTTGGGGACAAATTGATGAAGAACACAGGGTTAGGCCATAGGAGTGATGGAACAATTGATGCAGCGACGGATTGGTGGAAAAGAGAATTAAAGGTAAATTATGTTTTGTCCAACTTCTGTCAAAGTGATGATTTGTGAGAAGATGATCATTGTGACTAAATCTGTGCATTGCAGGGATGCCCTGCAGAGTGCAAGAAGTTTCAATGGGGCTGGCCTGCATATTTCCCCTATCTGGAGGAGATGTTCAAAGGGGTAGTGGTAGATGGCTCTACATCTTGCATCCCCGGGCAGTTTTCAGCAGCTACAAGTCAGGAACAAGGATATGAGGAGCCATGGGAGGCAAGTGCATTTAAGTATTGGTGTTTCTGTATGTGTGATGAACCTAAGCATGTAGTTGAACCTATACATTTGTGTTGAACCTATGTATTTATGATGAACCTATGTATTTCAGTTGAATGATTTGGCTTGTGATGATGTTTGATTGCTTTGTGAATAATTTGTGATTGCTGTGTGATTCAATTGTGATTGCTTTGTGGTTGCTGTTTGTTAGTGATTGATTCGGTTTTCATTGGTGTGTTCAAGTTGATGATGGTAATGGCGAACATGGTTCTAGGGATGATTTAGAGGACAACGATGATTCATCTTCATGAAGTGATGATTCATCTTCAACTGATTCTGACAAGGAGGATGCAGCGGTGGAGTATTATATGAGAGCCCAAAAGAGGAGGTGACAACTGCTCGTTGCTGCTTGCACTCTAGGTATGTATCACCATGAGCTTCACATGAACAGAACTGAACGTAGAGTGGCGGTAGAATCTGGTGACCAATGGGTCACAAGAACCTTAGATCATAGGACACAATACTACAGAATGTTTAGGATGAGGAAAGAGTGCTTTGACAAGCTTCATAGTGTGCTCCAAAGTTCATATGGATTGAAGTCCACATGTAAGATGACATCAATTGAGGCTTTAGGGATGTTCTTGTGGATGTGTGCATCACAGCAATCAGTTAGGTAAGCTGACAACCAGTTCACACGTTCATTATGCACAGTTAGTAGGAAGTTTGATAAGGTGTTGGCTTGTTTGTGCAAACTAGCAGCTGATATAATTAGGTCAAAAGACCTTGGATTTAGAGCTGTGCATAAGAGATTGCGGTCCCCTAGGTTTGCTCCTTTCTTTGATAAGTATATTGGAGCACTAGATGGAACACATGTGAAGGTAGTGGTGCAAACAAATCAGGTAGTACCTCATATGTAAAGGCATGGGTACACTAGTCAGAATGTGTTGGCCCTTTGTGATTTTGATATGAGATTCATATTTGATGTTGCGGGATGGCCTGGATCGGTTCATGATATGCGGGTTTTCAAAGATACAATTGACAAGTATAGCGATAGGTTTCCACATCCACCTAAAGGTATTGATTTGTCCTATCGTCTCTTGTTTCATCTAGATGGTCTTACTTTGCAATTGGCTTACAAGAAATTGCAACTGTGTAGGAAAGTTCTATCTTATCGACTCGGGTTACCCAAACCGACCGGGATATCTTGCACCCTTTAAGGGTATAAAGTATCATGTCAGGGACTATCAACAAGGACCCGCCCCAAGAGGTAGAAAAGAGCTCTACAATTATGCACATTCTTCACTTCGAAATGTCATCGAGCGGTCATTTGGAGTCTTGAAGATGAAGTGGAGGATTTTGTTGGACTTACTGAGTTATCCAATGCCAAAGCAAAATAATTCTCGCGTGTATGGCCCTTCATAATTTTGTAAGAGAGAATGATAAAAATGATAGGGACTTTGAGAGGTGTGATGAAGATGAAAACTATAATCCACTGGAAGAACCATCGTCTAGTCAAGGTAATGGAGCTAGTACTACTCATGGCGATGAAGATTAAAGTATGAATCAGTTTCGGGATTAGATAGCTGATGGTTTGTATGCTAGGAGATAGCTTTGATGATTTGTAATAATGGAGACTGTAAAACTGCATGAACATTATTTTGAATAAAATGAACTCTGGTGATTTTTAACCTGGTCGGCAGCGCAGCCAGTGAGCGACGCACCAGCGCGGGAACACGCCAGCGCACCAGCGCGGGAGTAGCCAACGTGTGAGTGAGCAGAGATTGATGCATTGATTAGAGGCTCTTTGGATATTGTTCAGGTGCGTTAACGATGTTTAGTTCCTTCTAATCCATGGAAAATAATATCATTTTAGTTCCTTCACTTATTTCTGTTTTAGTGTCTTGTCCTGGGACCAGAGAAAAGAACACGCCCCACGTCTCGCGTAGCTAGTTGGTAGCTTGGCCAGCCAGTGCTGCGATCTATTTACTGACAAAAATATGCATGGCGGCACGCCCAAAGTAAAACCCCGTCACTGCCAACTGAATCTGCAGATCGATCGGTCGATCGCCCGAATCTCGTTGGAAATGCAAAACGTCTCGCTCACTCACTGAATTTCAGGTACCAACTATCATCATGTCAGGTCCAGTTTAGTTTGCAAAAAATTTTGCAAAATTTTTCACATTCTCTGTCACATCGAATCTTTGGACGCATGCATGAAGCATTAAATATAAATAAAAAATAAAACTAATTACACAGTTTAGACGAAATCCACGAGACGAATCTTTTGAAGCCTAATTAGACTATGATTGGACACTATTTACCAAATAACAACGAAAACACTACCGTACTCATTTTGCAAAATTTTTTGCATCTAAACAAGCCCTCATTCTCCATTGTGCGCAGTATACCGCGCCAGGATACGGCATGCACAGTTGGGCACTTTCTTGTAGCTAAGCTTATTACAGGCTTATCTCTTCACGATGGCCTTATTCGCTAGACTAGCTAGAGTAATCCTAGCTAGCTAGCTCCTTTTTGACGCTCACCTGTCGTTAGAATTGCATCGGAACAAGTCTCCTTCTGCACTAGCTCGTCACGATGTCTCTATGACATCTATGTACGGAGTATATCGTACGTGTGCCGACGAGCGGTCCCTGATCTTGGCTCGCGTGGTACGTTTTTTTAGGTCAACACCGGGAGGATCAAAGAGATCCTCGCCTGAATTTCATTTCCACTGATGTCTGGGGGAATAAAACCGGTTGGTGGGGGGTAAAAATGCCGCCAGATTGCATGATTCAGGATGGTGGGGGAGAGAGAGGTTACATGGGTAGAATACTATGCCAACCCCTAAGTAAAGCGTCTGACTTCTTCGGTATACGGCAGGACCAGAGCCTAGCCGCAACTAATCTGGTTGGAGTCCCCGGAATACCACTTCCAAATCTCCCAGCAGCATAGCGGAATCATGGTACGGGCAGCGGCTTTCGGAACCTGAGGAGGAGAAGAGGTCTTCCAGAGCTCCCTGTCACCTCGTTCTGTCATGACTCATGGCTGGGCGACGGCCCGCTGGCATGTACGCCAGCTTCGCATACGTACGGACGGGCGAGACAGCGTTTGACCTTCGCACGTACGTGAGTCCTCCAGCTTCGCTGCGTTGGCGCGCGCGGCCGGCGGCGGGCGCGCTTTGGTTCTCCAAATTGACCAAATCCCGGCCCGTTTCTCCGGCCGACTGTTGCATATTGTTGGATTGGGTTCCGCCTCCATTTCCTCGCCATTTTTCTTTCCACGACCTACAATATTTTATTGTCGCATATTGTCGTTGCATATTGTTGGACTGGGTGTTCTCGCCTCCATTTTCGTTCGTGCTTTTCGATGGCTATTTATTTATTTATATTTATATGTTTTCTACTCACAACAATTCAACCGAAACAGTGTTTTTCAGCCAGTTTCAGTCAAATTTCAGACCAGCTAACGGGACGTTCTCGTCCCGATTCCTTACGCGGCTTCGCTGTTTTGTATAAATGCGGCCGAGCTTGCACAGCAAGGGGCCGGTACTACATACTACGGCACACCTGCACATACACACGCACAGTGCGAGGTCGAGACGTGGTTTCAGGAGGAGAAGGAAGGAAGGGAAGAGCTAGGAGGATGGGCGGCTTCACGGCGGACACGGTGGTGTGCGTCACCGGCGGCAGCGGCTACCTCGGGAGCTGGCTCGTCAGGAAGCTCCTCGGCAGAGGCTGCGTCGTCCACGCCACCCTGCGGAGCCTCGGTATCCTATATATCCTATCCACGCGCCTCCGAACTCTACGAACCCGGTCTCTCGCTCATATGGCCATATCATCTGACCTTCATGGGCGTCGCTGACGTGCAGCGGACGAGAAGAAGACGGGGCTGCTCCGGGCGCTCCCCGGCGCGGCGGAGCGGCTGCGGCTGTTCGAGGCGGACATGTACGACGCCGACACCTTCGAGCCCGCCATCGCCGGCTGCCACTTCGTCTTCCTCGTCGCCACGCCCTTGGCGCACGACCTCACCAGCACCAAGGTATATGTACGCTCCCCTCCCACCGCCGCCGCCGGGGCAGGCAGCTAGCTAGCGTCAACGATCACTCTAAGCCTTGCGCTCTCTCTGCTGCTGCGGCTCTGATTTACCGTGCCTACGTCTAAGATAATATTGTGGTCCATGTTTTAGCTGCACAGTCCGCACGGCGTCCTGGTGAGGGTGGTTCACACCGAATTACTTTCCCTACAGACGAAACGACAATGCTTGCAATGGACGGTTATAATTAGATCCATTATTCATTTTCCTCTTCCCCCCGAGGCCGAGACCGAGAGCCCGAGACCTCCGCGGATGACGGATCTCAGTGCATCATGGGCTGGCCGGCTCCATTTCGGAATAGACTATATGTTGAGTTGGCAGCTTCCACGATCCCTAATAATTTACGTCGGCCGCCTCAACCTATCCCCATTAGAGTAGACGACTGTGGGCATCGATAGATCGTTGGGTTGGATTCCATGCATGCACCTTCAGCTTACACTAGTTTGTTTGTTGGATTCTTGCGTGCCTATAACAGAAATCAAGAACGAAAATTTTGCTTGCAGGGCGTTTCTATATTAAAATTATTGGGCCTTTTCTTTTCGCGAAGTACAATTATTTTTGTCATATACGAGTTTGGCCGCTTCTGTATCCTTTTCTTTTCGCGAAGTACAATTATTTTTGTCATATACGAGTTTGGCCGCTTCTGTATCCAGTCAATAGGCCGGCAAGAGAAGATTATTTTAAATGACCAAATTGCACTCCCATCCTAGCTTCGTACTTGTCTATAGATACATAGAAAGCGACTGGGATGGATGTACTCCTCTCGTCCCCAAATATAGAAACCTCCGAGTTTATCCGAAACTAAACTATTCCAAATATGCGTAAAATATAGGAAAAATGGTAACACTTATAACTCAAATAAGCATCATTGTGTCTATGCACTACTTAAAAATTATATTTCAAGCGGCTGAATTTTAAGATGATTTCAGACAACGCTCTTATTCGACCAACAATTTGTATCGTTAATTATCTTCGTGCCAACACGAATCAAATTTTGTCGGGTCTGTGGTTTTGTCTAACGGGTTTGTGCCTTTCTTTTTTAAAAAATGTTTCTCAGACCCATATAAATATATAGCTCATCTGAAAATCTATTTCTAGTAAGAGATGGCCACCCTGCTACTCTGGTCTCACTACGCCAGAAAACAACAACGGAGACTCATCCACTAGAGACGGTCGTCTGCAACCGTCACACAAAAAACGTCTACAAACGGGTGATGTAAAGAACCGTCTCTGAAATATTAGTCCACAGCCCCACATCTAAATACTCGTCTGTGATAACACAATATTGGAGACCCATCTTCACGTAAGCCGTCTCTAATGTTTTAGCGACACGTGTTGTCGACGCCCGTCTATTCTATAAATTAGATCAGAGACGGTTTATGATTCTGAGACGCGTTCTTTATTACCCATCTGATTAAAAATGCATATCAGATACGGCTAGTAATTGAGAGACAGTTTCTGTTGTAACCCGTCTTTTTTTAAAACAACATCGGTGGTTTGGGATATCAGCCGTCAGTGTCATATCAAAGACGGCTCTCTCGTGCTAGAGGATATCCCTAAAAAGAAACCGAGAAACTCATGGTTTTCCTGCAGTACAAGAACACGACGGAGGCCGCAGTGGACGCGGTGCGCATCATCCTCCGGCAGTGCGAGCGGTCCGGCACGGTGAAGCGCGTCATCCAAACGGCCTCGGTCACGGCCGCCTCGCCGCTCAAGGAGGACGGCAGCGGGTACAAGGACTTCGCCAACGAATCCAACTGGACGCCGCTCAACCTCTCCTACGAATTCAGCAACGCTCACCTGGACGTACGTATACAGCAATGCTACTGCTAGCTCATCATGCATATCGATGATGAACTGAGCTGAAACATGCGTGCACGAACGCAGGATTACGTGTGGTCCAAGTCGCTGTCGGAGAAGGAGCTGCTGAGCTACAACGACGAGTCCTCCAAGGATCAGGCCCGGCCGCTGGAGGTGGTCACCCTGGCGTGCGCGCTCGTCGGCGGCGACACCATCCAGACGTACCTGTGGAGCAGCATCCCCGTGATCGTGGCGCCGCTGACGGGGCAGGCGATCTACCACAACGCCCTCCTGTTCCTGCAGGCGCTGCTGGGCTCCGTGCCGCTGGCGCATATAGAGGACGTCTGCGAGGCGCACGTCTTCTGCATGGAGCAGGCGTCCATGGCCGGCCGCTTCCTCTGCGCCGCAGGGCACCCCAACATGCGGGACATCGTCGACCACTTCGCCGCCAAGCACCCTGACCTCAAGGTACAGCTGACGGAGTACGTTGTGGCATGCTCTCGGTCTCAGTTGCTGTTAACGCTCGTTATTAGCTAGCTCTGGTGATTGCTGCTTGACCTGCTTGTGTGGTTGGTGACTGGTGATCTTGCTATATAGGGTGACTGGGGAAGGGGTCAGGATTGTGCCCAACACCAGCAAGCTGGAGGACTTGGGGTTCAGGTTCAAGTACGGAGTGGAGGAGACGCTGGACTGCAGCGTCGAGTGCGCCAAGAGGCTCGGAGAGCTCTAGATGCTATGCTAGCTACACATGCATGCGCAGCACTGGAATTCTGCTACTGTAATATGGTCGTATCGTGTTCGTACGTGTGTATATTGCGCCATTGCGGTCGATTCCTCCCGCCAGATCGAGTTTGAACTGTTCCAGATTCTATGGTTTCGTTAACTGACAAGAAAGAGGGGCGCGGCGTTGCCGCGCCTACATTAGATTGGACCAGTGTTAGACTTCGTGTTTGCTTCTACATTGGATTGGACCAGTGTTAAACTTCGTGTTACTGTTATTCATGGTAGAACGCCATGGTTTATATTTGTCCATTGTGTGGTCATTGTAGCGTGTGTTTTTTGGCCAGTATCCTACAACTAAAAAGAATAAAACGTGGATACTTTTTGGTGCAACATTCCAACATGGGTCCATCGTCCTGCCTTCCCGTGCGATTTTTTTCCACCTCGACGCTCTGCCCGCCCGTGCAAAAGGAAACTCGCCTCCACCGGCGCCTCCCCCTTTAACCCTCCCCGCCTCCGTTACCGTCTCCCCCCTTCCCACCTCCCCCACCCGCTGTGCTCATCCATCCACTGTGACGAGCCCTCGCCCGCCGATTCGACTACGTTTGATTTTTTTTTTCTTCATTTGAATTGATTGCAATGCACCGCAGCAGGAGGAAGAGAGGGAGGGAAGGATCCTTGGGCCGTCGTTCGGCTGGATGGTGGAGGCGGTTCGTCGATTTGAGAGCTGTGGGTTTCTTAGACCTGCGTAGGTACGTGCTCCTCTCTCGGCCGGACCGGATCTCTGGTCCTGCAGATTCCTGCTTCTCAGATTTGGGTCCTGGATGGGGGGTATTGATCCGGTTTTCCGCGTGATTTGATTTCAAAGGTAAAAACACCACCCCCATTTCCTCTCGGCCGGCGGATGGACGCGAGGGAGGTGTGAAGCCTGGTCTCAGATTTGTATGGAGCTTATGTTGGTTCTGACGTTCGTAACTGTCTGAACGACTGCTTATGAGTTCAGTTCAGCTTTGTGACAACACAATTTTTCTGTCTGCATCGTGGACTGAAAAAACTTCAGATATCTATATTTCCATTGCCAATTCTGACCAACCATCGACTAAACTGAATACTTGACATAAACAATTACTTGATAGTGAAAGGCTACCTGCGTGTGTTGATTTTTCAGGGAAGCATTCTTTGACTACGCCAAGCATTGCAAGATTTTACTGGATACATTGTACCGGTTGCTATCAACCATCGACTAAACTGAATACTTGACATAAACAATTACTTGATAGTGAAAGGCTACCTGCGTGTGTTGATTTTTTCAGGGAAGCATTCTTTGACTACGCCAAGCATTGCAAGATTTTACTGGATACATTGTACCGGTTGCTATCAGAGGCTCTTGGCCTAAACCCGAGCTACCTGATTGATATTGAGTGCAACCGAAGTCAGATGATACTGTTTCACTACTACCCTCCATGCCTGGAGCCCGAGGTCGCCATCGGAACAACCCAGCATTCCGACACTGGCTTCCTCACCGTCCTTCTCCAGGATGAGATCGGCGGCCTGCAGGTCCTCCAAGATGACCAGTGGATCGATGTCCCACCAACGCCTGGAGCGTTCATAGTGAACATTGGCGATCTCATGCAGGTTCATAGATTCTGATCGACTGTAAAATTTAACAACAGGAGACCTAGCTAAATCGTTGTTTTCAGAACTGATATATATTTTGTTGCTTACACGTGTATCTGCAGATGATGTCGAATGACAAGTTCAGAAGCGCCGAGCACAGAGTGGTGGCAAAGAAGGCTGGACCGAGGGTCTCCGTCGCATGCTTCACCAGCCATTCAGATTCCACAAGGATGTATGGCCCTATCAAGGAGCTGTTGTATGATGAGTGCCCACCGTTGTACAGGGAAACACTTGCCAAAGATTACATTGCGCACTACTACTCCGTCGGGCTAGGTCGCAAAAAGGCTATTTACGATTTCCGGCTATAGTGGTTCTGCAACAAATTGCGAGTTCTGCTTCTCTGAAGTCTGAACTATATGTCTCCTGTGTTACAATATATGAATTATGAAGGCATTGAAGATCATCCTATATGCCCATACGCTATATTACGAATAAAGTAAATGGAGCAATAACAATACTGAGGTATTCCTTCATCCAGTAATCAAAGTAACCACAGACGTATTTGACCAGACAAAAAAAAGACAAATTTTACAAAATTTTGATCAATAATTACTCAAATTATATGCACGTTCAGAGCATAAAACTTGCATAATGGATTTGTGTCCAAGTGCCCCTAAGATGATATTAATTTTTTAATTACTTATTATATATTATAGGAGAATTTAAGGGTCAAAAAATTACTTTGTATGATTTTTTTTCTGGTCCAATACTCTCTTTATTTTTGGGAGGAAAACAAAAAGGTACCTATCTTTACCACTTTGAATAAAAGATCAAATGATTGTGAGCTTCTTCTTACCCCTGTTGTGTCTGACATGAAACCTTCAGCTCAGGGCTCTTGCAGTAGCTCAATCATGTAGGGGGATGGTAATAGATTCTTTTGTGGTTGTTACTGCGCCATATGTAGGAGCGCGTCGTGCGGAGGCGGTGGAGGAGGAAGTGCCGACGATTTGGACAGCGTAGCGGCGACGGAAGGGGAGCAGCAGGCGGACGAGGAGCGAGCCGCTAGGAGGACGCCGCCGCCGCCGCCGCCGCCATGGACACTTTTTGGTGTGACATTCAACGTGGTCCATCGTCCTGCCTCCCCGTGCGATTTTTTTTCCACCTCGACGCTCTGCCCGACCGTGCAAAAGGAAACTCGCGGCCTCCACGCTCTGCCTTCCCGTGCGAAAAGGATTGGCTTCACCCCGCTCGCCCTGTCACCCTCTGGCAATCCCGCGCGCACCTCCCTTGCAAATCCTGCGAACCCTGTCTGCCCCCTCCACGCAAAGGAAGTCAAAGCCAGCGCGATCAAGGCCGCTCCAGACATTGCGCAATCTTCACGTCCTATGATTGCCTAAAATCATGCCGCCGCTTCCCCATTCCTTACTAGAGCCATGGTGTGTGCGTCCTCCGCGGTCGTCCACCCGACCATCGTTGCATGCCCATGCAAAAACCAGAAACTTGGGAGTCTTGGGCTCCCGACGGTGGTCAGGGTCGAGGTCGTTTGGGTGCGTGTGGCGCGGCGGGCGTGGGTGTGACGACGAGAATGGCTTGTTGTTGCGGCGCGCGGAATTTTTTAAGCCTAATTAGTCCATGATTTGACAACAGTAAAGATACCGTAAACATGCGTTAATAACGGATTAATTAGGTTTAATAAATTCGTCTCGCGAAGTGCGGACTTCTACAATTTATTTTATTATTACTATCCGAATACTCCATAAGACAACCTGATATGACATCTGATGTGGTACCATTAAACTTAGACCCTGAATTTAAACTACACCTGACTCTCAATTCATGCAGGTTCATCAGAGTGCGCCGAGAATATGGGCCACCGACAGGGCGACAGCGGTGACGGGCCTGATGACATGCAACGCAAGTTGATAAAAAGCACGGCATTGTTTGTTCCAGTAGCAGCATTCTCATTCCAACCAGCCTTAAGAACTAATTAACCTACCAGTGCCTTCCCTACATTTACATGATTAACAATGGAATAAAAAGACAGACAATTGTCCTTGCATGACAGAGACAGACATCCTACCAGATTACAGAGTAGTACACAGAACTTGAGGTGGTCACAGAGGAGCCCAAACGAAAGGGCACACCCATGAACCCCTCCGGCGGCACCGAACAAGAAGCAGGCGCTAGTGGGTTTTCAGATAGGATGAATTAGGTTTTCTCCCTTTCTCCATATATCATCAGAGTACTCCTGAAATACCCCTTACCAAAAGGGTTGTGCTTTCTACTAGCAGGTAGGGTCTTGTTTCTGAGGTCATATCAAGCGTCATGCGAGCACGATGGCGGAGAGGAGGAGCGCAATGAAGGCAGCGCCCAGTCCAGCCCTTGGGAGGAGCAAGCCCGCCGCCGCCGCTGTGTCCATGCCAGCGTTTGTGCCTGGTCCTAGGCCGCCGAACCCGGTGGTTCCGGTCGTAGTGCTTGTCCCCATGCCAGTGCCGGTTGTGCCTGTGCCTGTCCCGGGCGTGAAGGTCCCTGGGGTTCCTCCCATTGTGCCTCCAGTGGTCGGGGTCATGGTTCCAGCAGCGGCGCTGTATAAAGAAGGCAATGCTGTTAGTATTGTGGTAATACTGATTCAAGCCACATGCTGAATGTTCTGTGATTCTTAGTATAATCATCTGAGCTATGGATTAGCTCTTGTATTATATGCGTCTGCTTGCTACTTTACCCCACTAAAGCAAGCAATCAAGTTGTTCATAGTGTTGAGTTGCAAAAAGGATCTCTAGCATGGAGCTATGGAAGCATCAACAGTGATCACTGACCACGAAGAAGTACTGTGTATGCATCAAAGCATAGGATTGAAAATCTGGAAGTTAATAGCCTCTTAGGCATGCTGAATGTTCCTGCAGATCAACTGATCTGATGTCTAAAGTCCAGTTTCCTATTCCAGAAGTTATGAGTAGTTTGGAAGAGTATCAAATATCACTTAAGTTCAGTGAACCAACTGCATTCCAAAAGATCTGACTCAACATGGGGCTACTAGTTCCCAAAGTGCACAAGTTTGAAATATGGACTACTCAGCCAGGCCTCTGTGCTAATAGTACTACATGGATCATACAGTTAATTTGAGTTGACGATGTACCTTGCACTGGTAGGGTAAGAGCAGCCAGAAGAACCTGAAAGTTTAGAACACAAAGATCATATAAGATACAGGTAGGACTCTGATTAAGTGATGAAATGGATAGTGTCACCAGGCACCAGCCAGAAGAACATGGAAGCAATATTACACAAATACCATATAAGACAGCTGGAATCTGTATTTTGAATGATAAAACGAAGATCGCAAGAACAAAATCTGCCCTCGCCGTGTTACACTTCACTTTCCTTTTGGAAAGTAGGGAAAAAATGGATGCGCTTTCATGCCAATGCCTGCCCCAGTACACACCAGAGAATATTGGGTCAAGAATAAAGCATATATGGCAACAACTTTGAACTTTGCAAATCTTGTTATTCATTCAGAAAGTTTGTATTTTTTACTATTTTATTAGTTGTTAGGCTAGTCCACACCAATAGCCTAATTCCAGTACCTGTACAGAACCGGATTCCCTAAAGCTTGATCAGTACACCTAGATAGCTTTTACATAGGGCTAACTGATAACAAAATGAAATGTGCCAAAAATGATTAGATCCACAATGTTGCATGTCAAAAGCCGAGTTCAGGTGGCCCAAGCACACAAGTTTGGAAAACATTTAACAATGCTAGACGGCATGAATATTGGTTCCACTAACTTCGCCAACCTTTATTCTTCTTCGCAATTCTAACCCAGCAAGGAACTAACACACTAACAATCAGTAGCTACAGCCTAATCACAAACGGATAATCCTTGAGCTTGAACCTAAATGCAAGGGTAATATAATAAAAATCTAGGCATGAGAGGGGGTCGGGGCATTACTTGGGTCGCTGGTGGTGAGGGTGCCGGTGCCGGTGAAGTCGCAGGTGGCGCCCTTGGCCTTGTTGTTCTGGTAGTAGCTGTTGGCCGCCCAGGAGCAGTGCGCCGGGACGGTGTTGGGGTTGTAGCACGCCCCGTTCTCATGGATGGAGTTGCAGTCCGCCCCGGAGCCGCATGCGTAGTCGATGGTCTTCTGCAGCGCGGCCTGCGTCGCGTCCTGCCTGCACACGCACCATTCTGCACCAAAGATTTTTGGTTAGAAGAGATGCTAGAGACTGAAGGGAACGAACGCACGCCTGTCTGGGCGTTCCAGGGGATGCGCCGGTTCTCCCGCGTCAGTTTCTTCGATGTGGTATGTGGATGTCACCAAATGCGATGGCCGGGGGAGCGTGAGCACAGCAAGCAGACGGAGCGCGAGCTTTGCACACGCAAAGGAAGAGAGAACGGCACTTTTCACTAGACATGTGCTCCAACGGAAATCTGAGCTTTTTGTGTAAGCTCTGTGCTGCATTTCAGTTAAGCAAAAGCACAAAAAGGGATTTTGAATAGGAAAAGTTGTTTTGGGGGAGAACTTCAGTGTCCATCAGCAAAGACGAAGAAATTTCCCTCTCCTCTCCCCCTGCTCTGTTCTTGAACGAATCTCTTCAAAAGAGAAGCGGAAAAAAAATACTGAAATGGATGCAGCGGTCAGCGGATGAATACCGTTGGGTTGAACAATGTCAGGAAAAAATGAATCTTGAAGAAATTCAATGGCAAAAACAGTACGTACATCTGAGATGCAACGTCTGCTTGGTTCATCCACGAAAAAGAAAAGGGGAGAAAAAATGGAAACCTTTTTATGTTCCAGAAGAAACGAGCATTGAAGCACAGCTGAGAAAAACAGGCACAGAAAACAGAGCCGGGGATGTCAGAGCACAGAAAAGGAGTAGAAGAGCTTGCCGTGGGCGACTCGGCAGAATGATGAACGAGAAACCCCAAGGTTTGCGCGCGCGCGCACAACACACACCAAGAAGTCCAAACTCCGCAAACAAGAGAAAAGACGCGGCGGCAGTCATTACGGCGGCAGTCGACGCTGACGCTACTACAAAATCCATAGGAGTGCAGAGGAAGGAAGTAAAGAAAGGGCTGCGCTGGACGTCCGATGGATACCGATCCATCGACGGTGCCGTGGACCCAACGACGTCGGGCCCTTCGTACTGCGCCTAGCCCTCCCGCACGGGATCACACCTGCCCGCCCGCACGGAACAGAATAGAGATCGGAACCGTCCTTCCTCCGCTCCCCGCGCACGGAACCCCCCCCCCCTCCCCCGGCGTACGGAACGGATCGAATAGAACGGGTTTTCCATTCGCCCCCAACCTCGCCTGCCCCCAACGCACTCCATTAGAAAACTGTTTACAACATCAAACAAAAAGCAATGCGAGGTGAAACATCAGAACAAGTCTACTGCAACATTAGAACAAGAGCGACTGCAACAACACAATAAAGCTATTGCAATACGAGATGCAACGTCAAAAAAAAAATACTAATGCAACAATGAAAAATTACTTGTTGCAACAGTAAACCAAAGCTACTGCAACAACAGAAACAAAAGCACAATGCGAGATGCAACATCAGAAAAAAAAGACTAATGTAACAAAGAAAAATTACTTGTTACAACAGCAAACCAAAGCTACTGCAACAACAGAAAACAAAAGCGCAGTGCGAGATGCAACATCAAAAAAAAATATATATACCGCCTTGGGGGCATGGCTGGCATGAGATCGGTTTGAGATTTGAATCTATCCGACCAATAACCCTCCCTTGAATAGGACGCGGATTGTCCACTGCATGAGGCAGTTTTGAACTGCAGAGCAGGAAATATATTGCATGTTCGTTTGTTGGTTTTAGGCAGCCCAAACCAGCCAGCCAACAGTGTTTTTCTCTCACAACAAACCAGCATCAGCCAGCCCAAACCAGCTCAGAAACCAACCAGCGAACATGACGATAACCCCATGTGTAGGAAGGGCGTCCCAACAACTAGCTAGCTATTCTGACATAGACAGAGAAAAAATAGGAGAGAGAGTAGTCACTAACGACGAATAAATAGCTGATCTATCTCACGTAGTCCAAAAATCTAAGAGAGGAACATATGGGTTCAATATTACATTGAAAAATAAAAATGTATAAAATAATCTTTGTTTTTATCTCTCACCTTCACGTAAGCTAGCTACGTAGCTAGCACCATTGTGGACACCATAAGTGCAGTTCCCAATGCACAGTTTCTAGGGTAGTTTTCAAGAATAATAAATTACATTACAGACCTAACTCTTCCCATGCATGGTTTCATTAGTAGTTTCTAACTTCAAAAGAAATGAATAATCTCATGCATGCTTAAGAACGAAAGCTTGATCAATTGTACAAAGTGTATATGTAGCACCATATGGCCACAAATCAATCTCCATCTACTTGCAGGTCCTGCCGTGTTTCTCCTCTATGAAACCCGAGCTCGAGTTTAGCCTCTCTCGTGCGGCTCGCAATGCAGGAGCTAGGAAGCTTCGTTCTGTGCTAGTAATTGAAGCCTTGGAGGTAGCCAGAAGAGAGACGTGAGGGAGCGATCAAGGCTTACGTTGATGGAAGGAGACGACGACGGCCATGGCTTCCTCGGGCAGCGGTGGCGGTTCAGCGATGACGACTTCGCTCTCTCTGTAATAAATCTACTGTCACATCAGCAATTTACTTAGTTAGCAACATAATCAATAGAGATAGAAACCATCGTTAATATAGCATCGGGAGCTCCTAGGTGAAAAGTCGGCACTCAGCAGTGAACTTTTTTTCTGTACTGTAGTACTGTATCGTGGGAGGCCGCTTTGGGGGTGTGTGTGTTGGGGTAGGGGGAGGGGGAGGGGGAGGGGGAGGGGCTTCAGCTTCAGCACTACAGTTGCGGTCTCCGAGGATTTACAGTACCGGACGGGGCTCATTATTTTCAGTAGGTCAGGGCCCACACTGCGAGAGCAACAGGAGACAGACACAGGCACACAGGACGCTCCCACAGTACAGTCTATATGCCTCCTTGTGTAGTAGTGCTTGGCCTATAGATGGCCAACAGGCCGGCCCGGCCCGACACGGCCCGGCCCGGCACGGCCCGGGCCCGTGAAAGCACGGCCCGATAGGGGTCGGGCCGGCACGGCACGCCGGGCCCCCCGGGCCGTGCCTCTTAGGGCCATGGGCCTAGCCTTTGGCTCAGGCACGGCCTGCCGGGCCGTTTCTCGTGCGGGGCTAGCCCAAAAGGCACGCCACGGCTAACGGACCATGCCAGCCCAAGGCCCACTGAGAGAGAGAGGTGTGGAAGGGCAGGTAAGGGCAGCTGTACTGCGCATGAGGCATGGCGGCGGCGCCGGACGGCGGGCTTCGCACCGACAGGAGCCGCAATGGACGAGGGCGCGAGGTTGGGGGCGTGGAGGAGGCGCTTCGGTATTTGTTGCACTCGAAGTCGACGCTGGCTGCTTGACGCCGCCATGGAGGAGCTGCGGAGGTTCGCGACTTCATGAGCGCGAATGCGAGATCCGAGAGGGGAGGAGCTAAAGCGCGCCACGGGGACGGAGCAGGCGAGGGCAGTGGTCGTGGCGTGGAGGAGGAGGACAGCGAGGAGGCGGCGGGGCTGGAGCCACGGCCCGTGGGAGGAGCTGAATGCGGCGCGGAGATGGAGGAGTGGAAGCGGCGGTAGCGACTTGCGAGAGGAGAGATAGAGAGGTGAGTGCGAGTGTGGCGCCAAGGGAATGCTTCTAGGGTTAGCCGGTTAGGACACAGAGAGAGAGGAGGGAGGAGAGGGTAGGCTGGGTCGCCGGGAGCAGGCAAGGTCGCCGGGACGCAGGGGTCGTGGAGGAGCGGCGGGGGCTCGAGGCCAGCCACCGCGCGGGGCCTTGGGGGAGGAGGGCGGCTGCCGGCGTGCTCGAGGCCGGCGCGTGTGCCGCGGCCGCGTGGGGAGGCGAGGAGGAGATGGCCGCCGAGGTTGGGAGTGGCGGAGCTCCGGATCTCGGTGAGGAGGAGGAGCGAGTGCGGCAGCGGAAGGGATAGGGTTCGGGCGTGGGGAGGGGGTTGCGCGGGGGAGCCGGGGAGGGGAAGGGATAGGGTTCGGGTGTGGGGAGGGGGTTGCGCGGGCCGACTGGGGCTCTTAGCGGGCCTCCGGTTCTATAGCGGGCCGTGCCATGCCGGCCCACGTGCCTGGGGTAAGGCTCAGGCATGACCTTCTCCTCCGGGTCGTGCCAGCCCGGGCCCACTGGCCATCGCCCCGGGCCGTGCTTGGGCCGGGCCAAAAAATTGGGCCTTGGGCCGGGCCGACGGGCTCGAGCTGCATGGCCAACTATAGCTTGGCCCCGCCTTGGTTGGATTGGATGGATCTCTTGATTGGTGCAATGGGCCAATACGTTATACAGTAGTACATGAAACCACGTTAACACAGGCGCTACTGAGCCGAACGATCCTTTGCTTTTCTTATTACCGACAGAAAGAAACCAAGTGGCCAGGTGAAGCTTACCGCGCTGAGCGAGCGAGCGGTTCGGCTACTGTTTGGAACCGACGAGGCCCCGTTTGACTGGTTTGCCTTATAAGTTATTGCTGGTTTGGTATGAGAGATAAATACTATTCGTTGGCTGATAAGCCATGACCTATAAGCCAGATACGAACGAGCGAACGGGCTGAAGAAATGCCTCCAGCCAAAGTGCGAATCTCGAGAGAGGAGAGGCCCCACGGCCCGCGCCAGTGCGCCACTCGTTGGACCCTGCCACAGCTGCTGCTGCTGCTTGGCGCTCGCTCGCTCGCAGTCGGCACTGCAGTCATATTCTCCGATCGGATCGTTCCCCCGGGTGATCCGGTGATGACCTACCGGCTTTTGCCCCTTTGTCTCTCCGTCTCCGAGGTCCGACCGCGAGACGATGAAAAAGCAAGCGTGGCCGGCCAGGCCAGGTGCTCAGTTCAACCCAGGCAGGGCATCAGGCGTTTAGCACCAGCAGCTCATCGTGGTGGACGACCCCTTTGACTCGCCCCGCGGCGTGCAGACCAGATTCCATTCTCCAACTCCAATCGCGCATTGGCCGGTCCGGTTGATTGATTGGTGTCAGTGCGGGTGTGGGGTGGACCACCGGTGACCCCGCCGGCCGCCGGCCTACGCGAACGGACGCGAATATATGCTGCCTGCCGATCAGTGGGCTGCGAATCATTGCGCCATGTCCACGGTCCGGGCACACGGCACCAGAGATATGGATGGATGCCCGTGCAGCTCGTTCGTTTCGTTCATAGCACTAGTTTATTTTCCTTCACCCCGCCGATCGTCTCGGGGCGGATCAGTTGGACTTCACCGTGCTGGGTGTGGGCTGGGGAGTGCCGAGCGCACGTGCGGCAGGGAGGAGTGTGCTTGGTTGGACGTTGGAGCCTTGCTCAACGGCCAGTCGGCCACCGACGGACTACTCTGCCTATCCTGTCCTCCAGAGCTCGAATCAATCCACTGGACAGGTAACCATCGCCGCCGCCAAGTTCTGGTTCTGGATGCGTGTCCGGACAAGACGAGAGAGTCAAGGCCACGCTGGCTACCGGCGTGGAGCTGATCGTGGAATCCTGACGTTCTGGGTTTCGCCTGATGAAACCAGTCCCTGTCTGTCCCTTCGCTCGCGAGCTTTCCGAATCCGAGCTGCAACCGTGGGCAGCTGCCATATGTCCTGTGAGTCTGTGACCAGCTCGTAGCAAGCGGCACGGCAGGGACTCCCTCCCGCGCTCTCTTGCTCTGTCTGACTCCGAGTCCGAGAACGCCCTCCGTATGGGAACTGGGAAACATTAAAAGTCGGCGTGGGCCATAGCGGGCCGGACAAAAGGTGACACCAACTCACCAAATGGGCTGTTGAGTAGTAAGTTGGGCCGAATTGGGCATTGTTCAGAATGGGCTCGGAGTTTCATTTCGTCAAGCCTGTCTGGAAATACATGTTTTTTTTTTTTTTTGAGAAACAACGGGATAGTGTCTGCTAGCATTGTTTCGTTCGAGTCAAAAAGGCTTCTTTAGTTCAGAACAAAAGTTAAACATATTTA